GTTGTGGACGGGGGAGAGAGAGGGGATTCTCCGTGAGCGAGAGCTTGGCTCACCTGAAATCTCGACCGCCCACTCGGCCGGTCGTCGGCGGTCCGTCGAAACAGCGTCTTCGTCTGCTCGCTCGGTTTCCGCGTGATTTCTCGCCGACGAGCGATCGGGCAAACTTCAACACCTGGCACGTTGCCCTCGAAGAGGGCGAACGCGCTCGAGCACTCGTTGCGAGTTTGCGAATGACAGCTTGTGGAGAAAACGGGGGCTACTTGAGAGCTACGAGAGGAGATATCTCTTGTATTTCGGTTAATTGTTTCAGTTTAAGGCGAGGTTAGGCTGGATGTTCCGATTAGTGAGAGGGTCTTGCTTTAATATTCGACGAGCTTTTCTTCTTAACCCTTTAAGGGACGTATTTTTCGGAAAATCCGAATCGCATGAAAATTTATATACGAGGGTTTCTAGGATTGCTGATGACGAATCCGTTATTAGATTTTCGAAATTCAAGATGACGGATTCAATATGGCGGGTGCAAAATTGAAAAATCGCGATAATTTCGGTGACAATGAGTATTGCGCGGTTTTCGGAGTCGCTGATTACGAGTTATCAGATTTTCAAAATTCAAGATGGCGGATTCTAGATGGCGGCCATAAATATGAAAAATCGCGATCATTTCGGTGACATCGGTGATTCGTAATCAGCGACCTTGAAAGCTAACTAAAGTACAATTTCAGCTAATCATATAAAAATTTTATGATCCGCCATCTTGGAAAATAAATTTTAGAATTTGGATCTCAGATTCGTAATCAGCGAGCTCAAAAACTATCCAGAGAATTTTAGCTAATTTTATGTACATTCTATGATACACCATCTGGAATCCGCTATCTCGGAAAATGAATTTTAGAATGTGGATCTCAGATTCGTAATCAGCGACCTCAAAAACTAACACCAGAGTACAATTTTAGCTAATTTAATAAAAATTCGAACCGCTATTTTGAATCCGCCATCTTGGAAAATTAATTTTGGAATTTGGACCTGGAGATTCGTAATCAGCGACCCAAAAACCCACAAATCTTGATTTTAAGCAAAAAATTCACTCATAGTTCGTGGAAAATAATTTTTTCTGTAAAAATGTGTATTTTTCACACTTTGTTTATTTATAATAAATGGACAACTTATGCAAAACACTTTTCAACCTTTCATGTATGTTCCCATATCATATGAGAAGCTAAAAAACGCAAAAAACCCGACAAGAATCCCTCAAATATGAAATATTTCATGAAAATGTGAGATAAATAGATGGTAAGTATACTTACCACTATGCCTCAAAGGGTTAATGTATCAGCTGATTTGGATCCATACATGTCTCGAGCTTGGCTTGCGTGTTCTTGCTGGGAATTTTATGCGCTGTCGGTCGCAACGAGTTTCGAGTAAGGTTAAAAGCCGTGTTAGACAAAAATGGCAGAACATCGTGAGGCGGCGACGATCACCTCAGAAGCTGGTGGGTTCTTATGTCAAACGTCATCTCTATCATAATTTATTTGTCACCAATTATCCGCTGTATTAGTAATCTATCTGTCAGACTGTGCATGATTATTCTCCAACTTGCTCGAAACCGCGTCGCGTCGCTAGGTGGCGCCCCGGTCACTCGTGAGAAACTAAGATAAAGAAATGAGAAAGGCCTCCTGGTACAAATCGAACGCCGCGTAGGTCAGCAAAGTGCAACGCCGAAGACACAACGCTCTAAGTCTCGTAAACTGGAAAAATACGCTCGCACGAGCGACGAGCGAGAGAGACTGCTCGGCCATTTCGCTAATTCGAACCCAACTTCCGGGCAAGGTGGGGACCGGAGGGGGAGGAATGAGTCACTCGGTCCACAGGCCGGCACATCGATGCTGCGAAATGAGTGACACTTTCTCTCTCTCTCTCTCTCTCTCTCTCTCTCTCTCCTCTTTCTTTCTCTCAGGTCCGCAGGTGACGCACCTTTATTCTCGACTCCGTCCCTCCGTTGCCGCGACGCGAGCAGGACGGAGGCAGGATACAGCGAAGAGTCGATCGTGTCGATCGGTGGCAGTGTGTCCGCCGTCGCCCTGACGACGGCGGATTCTCAGATTCGCGAGAGCAGAAGACTGCGCACGCGCGCGAGGGAGACGCTTAATGACTAGAGGGGAGGTTATGTTGCTTCGCGCGTCTCGTCGCGCACCCGAAGGGCCCGCGGGCCCTTTCGGAGGACGACACGCCCCTGTCGCCGCGGCTGCGCGACGCGACCTCTCGCGATGCGATGATTTCACGCTGAGAGGAAAATGCGACTGTTCGTCTCGGCATCCGATCGGATGACGGAATGGACAATCGGGTGTTTCGGATATTCCGCGGCTCGCTTAGCTAATACTTAGGCATACGTAATCGTACGACACGCGCGATCAAAGTGTCCACCCTCAGAGGCTTACCACCCCGTGAAATTTCACCCCGTGCGAATTTTGCTTCGTCTTCATCGAATGCTGCATTGTCTGCTGCGGACGATGACCTCTCTACTCTTCATCCGATACTCGATAACAACGAAGCGCTTGATTGCATTCGTTTGACTTTCTTTCTTTGTTTCTGAGATAAATCATATACAGGGTGTCCCATTTTTAATGCTCCGGACAAATATCTCGAAAAATATGGCAGATACGGAAAAATGTTTCAGACAAAAGTTGTTAAAATTAATCGGTAGGAAAAGATGATATCATAAAAAATTGGGGTTTCCATCTGAGAAAAATAATGATCGGTGAATATTTCGAAAGTGGCGCCATCTGTAGACAAATTGATGTAGTTATTTTATGTCCCCCTTGAAACCATACAACTTTCGTCTGAAACATTTCTCCATGTCTCCCATATCTTTCGAGATATTAAAATGGGACACTTTGTATGCGGGGGGTTGAAATTTCAGCCACGAGAGCGTTGACGCGATTTTCTTCGACGGTAGCTTTCAAGGGTTGAAGGGTTGAAGCTCAGATCGAGACGGCGCAACGTCCGGCCGCGAGCTTACGAAGACCCGAGGATCGCTCGAAGCCATCTTGGCCGAGGACGCGAAGGCGAAGGACGACGGAAGGACTACGAAACTGCATAATTGGCTGCGACGTGGAGGGAGGGGGGCAGATCCGATGCAGCGCCGATTTCCTTCCGGCCAAGTTCCGGCGCGCGACTGGGGATTCCGGGCTCCTTGGAGGATACACTTTGGTCGCACCGGAGGTCCTGTGACGCTCCTCGGGCCGGATTCGCTCGTCGACCGGGACGTCGACGTTTTCCTGCGTGTTTCGCTCGCCGTTTCCAACATGGCGGTTGGTGACTCGCTGCGACGTAAGGAGCATCTCCGGGCCGAGTGCCTGGTCGTCGGACCTGTGCAATTATTCCTCAATCAGCTTCCGCCGCTCCTTGGAGACTAATCCGTCTCGGTGAAGACGCGGAGCTGAGCCGTCGCGTGTCGTCGTGACGAGCGGCACTTTGGCCATCTCGGTCGCGGCGCAGGAAGCGCGCGGGATCCCTCGGTTCTTACAGGCTACGGATTTCACACGGTTTGCAGAGCGCGGTCGCGCGCTCTCCGCGCGGGGAAGTCGACGAAAGCTGTCCTCTTCGCACGGCTGTCGATCGCAACGCAATCAATCAATCGCGATCTGCGCACTCCACGCGCGCGAAGAGGAGAGCTTCGGCCAGGCCGCGAGCGGGCCATTTCTCCGGGTTTCGACTCGAGCGCAGAATTCCGAGTCGGGAACTTTGCATTTCGGGATTTTCCCATCCCACGAGAAAATTGGCTCACCCGGCCACACGTTTCTTTCCGCGCTCGCGCGCTTGTCACACGTACGAAAATAGCACGCAGTGTGTGAGTCTCTCAACACCGTCCGCCATTCCCGTTTCGCCCCACAGGCCACTGGATATTGTTTCGTCTCGGTTGCACAATCGTGTCCAACTGCATGCTTCGTGGACGCGGACGCGGGAAGAGAAACGACGTCTGTCGCGCGCACGCACACGCACACATACACACATGCTGGTCCCTCGTGAGAAGGAGAGACCAGCGCCTCTCATACCCCCCACACACGCACACAAACACACGCCCGACGCCGGGCGAGCCGCGAAGTCTCACCCCGGCGGGGGCGAAGCGGAGAGCAGCCGCGCGACGAGCGACGACTCCTCCGGCGTCGTCCGCTACTTTCGCTGTCTTTTAACGAGGTCGCTAATCTTGGGGGTGGAACGCAGGGCGCGGGCAGCGCGGCTGCGACGGCTTTCCTCGCGCGACTTGGCGCGGCTGAAGGCCGCGACCGAAAACCGGTATAATTTCGACGAGGCCGAGCGGCCTCGAGAGAGTCGCGTCGCGGCGACTTCGGGGGGACGCGAATCAGAGTCGTCGGAGTCGGGTTGGCACCCGACTCGATCTTCGAGAAATCGAGGCTCGCAGACGAGGCGAGTCGAATATAAGTGTTTCTATCGGCGGATCGCAAGTCGATTCCCCAGCGGATGGAGGAACCGGTTCGCGACAAAAGTCGAGCGCGAGTGGATGGATTCGAAAAATGGGTCTCTCGATTTGCTGAAGATCGAGTCGAGAGACCGCCCACCCGCCGACAGCTCTCGCCGCTTTCGCGCGAATAAATTTCACGCAAGCGAGCGGGTAGCGGTGACGCGATCACTTTGACGACACTTCGCTCGGGCTCGCCGAAGTTACATCGGTAAATTCGCTCGCTCGCCGGAGAAAGACAGAGAGAGAGAGAGAGAGAGAGAGAGAGAGAGGGGACACCGATTCCTGAGAAGTCCGAGCGACTGGCGCGTTTCTCTCTCTCTCTCTCTCTCTCTCTCTCTCTCTCTCTCTCTCTCTCCCTCCGACATCTCAGACGCGAATCGTCGCCCGGGACATGAAGAGACGCCGTCCCCGGCGTTATCGGCGCATCGCCGCGAGCTCGATAAGCAACAGCCGGCGGAAAGCAGGATGGACGCGGCTCTTCGCGAGACCGGATCCGCGGATCCTTGAAGAAGAAGACCCGTCGGCCCTTCTACCACCACCGCCGCCGCCGCCGCCGTTGCCGCTGCTCTTTCTTCTTCTTCTTCTTCTTCTTCTTCTTCTTCTTCTTCTTCTTCTTCTTCTTCTCGGGCTGCGGCCGCGATCGCAGGTCCCGCGTCTCCGGATGCGTCGACGACCGCGGGCTGCGGACAGCGGGCGAGGGCAGGACCGCGGCAGCGAGTCGAACGTGCCGAGCCTCCGAGGCAACCTGCAACAACAATAATAACCGTCCGACTCATGGCGCGCGGGCAGGCGATCGCGCAGATCGCATCGAACACGCTCAATTGATTTACGGACGTCGCGGCGCGACACGCGTCTCCGGCCTGCTTACGTTTGTTACTTACAGCGGCTGAGATTGTACGTGCGCATCGCCGGGGGGGAGGGGGATGCGTAAGCCCACATCGATACCAGAGCATTGTCCACCGCGGCGGTTGTCGCCCGCGCGAGTCGCACCGCGGAGAATTTCCTCTCGGCGAAAGTGAACTCGCGCGCCACCGACCGGCGCGGCGGGGGAGGGTTTTTTGACCGTGTTTTTTTTGGAATTTCGGTACGTCACGTCTCTCGGGCGGCTGACAAGTTGCGAAAACCGCCGGACTTGTCGGTTTCGGCGCGTTCTAATTTCTCGGATGTTGAGCAAATTGCATATTAATGCGTTATATGACGCCCACTATGTTAGATATACCGGGTGTTAAAAAAAAATGCCGGGCTCTGCACTTTAGGAGCAGATAGTATAAAACGGGGGAAAGGTCTTAATAAACATGGCTGGAAAAAGTGATATTGTCGGAGTTGTGAACTGTTATAACTCGCTTTAGTTAAAATAAATAATTGTTAACGCTGATCATATCCATCTTCCGGCCCGTTTGTTAGGATTTTTTTCCTTCATTTTGCACTATCTGCTCCTGAATGCTCTTTTTTAAACACCCTGTATGTGATATAACATTATATTATCAATGTTTATTATTAACGAAATATCCACATTATTCACCGCACGTAAATTACCACACGTAAATTGGCCGATGTAAATTTTCTAATATTTATATAAATATTTACACAGGGTGTCCGAGATTTTTTGAAAACGAAAAATTGCGAAGATTAGCTCAGATGAAACTGAGAAGAAAAGCCAAGTATCATTTTGCAAAAATCGTAATAGTTATCAAGTTGTTAATGATTGAAAATGACCACATTTAGGGGCTCTTTTAATTGATAACTTGAAAATTTGCTTACTTATTTGCAAAATGATACTTGGTTTTTCTTCTTAGTTTGGTTTGATTAATTTTCACAATTTTTCGTTTCCAAAAGATCCCGGCTACCCCATATAACCATTTTAATATTTTTATAATATTATGTTATTATATAATATATACATTTAAAGTATTTACATAAATATTTAAATAACATAAATTTCTATAATATTATTATATATGTATTATATGTATATGTATAGTGGATCAAAAATATATTAAAAATATTTATTATCATTTTCACGTTCAATTACTAAATAAATTATTGAAACTATTATTTTTATAAGTTAATACAGGAAAAAATAAATAATAAATTAGTGAGATAACTATAATAATTAATAAAATAGGAAAAGAATAAAAACTCATATTATTGGCATTATGTGAGAAATAGAATATTATAATAAATAATATTTTTGAATTGGCAATTTAACGTCAAAGTTTAACTAATCCTACACAGTTAAAAGTAGATAATATTCTATTGCAATCTGATTTAAAAAATCGATACTTTGTTCAGTCATTTAATAATATTAAATTATAGTTTTAGATCATTCGATAAAATCTTTTATATTAATTAATTCACTTACAATTAGTATGAATCTATGATTTAATGCGCAAATTTCAGAACATTGACCACAACAAATTCCAAATATCCAATATATGGATAATAAGGATCGATTTAAACGTTCCGGAACTGAATCTATTTTAATATCTAATGATGAAACTGTTCACGCATGCATGAATCACGTCTAAAGATATCATTCGAACTGGATAATCAAAAATGTAAAATACATCGATTACCGACGTCTGATAAATATAAATATTTATATAAATATTGTAATTAAATATTTCCGATATGTTCGCCCTTGCGACAATCTACTCCGTAGACCGTTCGTTTTTCTACGACAATTGGAACTCCGCGTCGATTTAACCCGCTGTCACCTGTCCGCGTTCAGGTTTGCATTCTTACACGCGACTCGAAGAGACAATTAACGTCTCTCTGCGCCGCGCTCTCTCGCGACTCAATTGAAACGGTTGACATTATCACGCTCGCCTTGGAACCGATCGATTACTGCGCTCGCGGATACCTTTCTTTTCTTACACACACACACACACACACACGACGACCTCACGCGACTTTGTGCGCGAATTATCCCCATCTCCGTGGGGCCGAGCCGCAAAGAGAAACGTCGCGCGGTCGAACGTTCAGAATGAACGAATTTACCTGAGGCTTTGGAAATCCATTTAAGTAAGTACCAAGGATTTTTGTTCGAAGCACCGAAGTAATTAATTCTTATCCGCTCATTTACGTTAATTAGTCCAGATCATGTGGGGAATTTATTTCTTCCTCAAGGCGTTGAGAAATGTAACTCGGGTTAATATTTCATTATTCAGCGGTTTTCTCTTTTTCTCCGACGGACGCGCGCGCGAGCGTCACGTGGGCGCGATCCTTTAAGAATTCAATGCGTCTCCGAATGCCGGTGTCATAAAGAACGAGTTATTCAACGGTCATAACAAACACACACACACACACACATATGCGGCAGCTCACGCCACCCACGCGAGCGAAAGAGGCCGAGGAAAGACGCTCACCTCGATCAGGCTTCTTGAAGCTCGCCCTTCACTCCCGGCACGCCGTGGTGATGCCTCGAAGCGAGCTTGTTCGCTAATTCGTGCATCACGTCGCGGTAGATGACGGTGTCCAAATTCTCGCCCAGCATGTACAGGAGGAACCAGTCGCCCATCTTGCTGCGACGCACTATCGTCTCCACGGCGTCACGCCGCACCAAGCGGAAGCGCATTCGCAGCAGGTAGACCCTCGTGCGCGGCGAGAGAATGATGAGTATCTGGAGGAGCAGACGCACGAATATAGGCGGGCGAGCACGCGCCGGCAGGTCGACGACATCCGATCGTCGCCTCTTATCGCGCGCACGAAACCTTCTCAATCTGATCGACACTTTTGCTCACATCCAGGCTCTCACTGAGAATTCATTGATTTCGGCCGCTCAGGCCGCCAATTTAATCAGCCGATTGATCGGATAATGGAGTTGACCGAAGATGGCGAAGTCGGCTCCAGAGAAGTCGATTTAAATCAATATCGAGAATTTAGAAAAATTAAAAAAAGATAAATAAATAAATAAATATATATATATATTAATATTTAAATATTGAAAAGTTGGGTCGAGGGCGTTGATTGATGAAAATTTTTCATTTAATTCGCTAAATTTCTTTTCTTTCAATTTTGAGAAACGTCAGGGACTTGCTTGAGGCATTGAGACGACTGATTTCGTTGAATCTACCTGAATCATTTAATTAATTTTTTTCTCTCGCGGGGGGAGGGGGATAATATCACGTCGGCGATATATTCGAGAATTTCCCTGCAAGTCTTTAAACGCACGTGGAACGACTGCAAATATTTGTTGTTCTTTAGCAACAGAATTTTAATCAGTAGTGACTTGGCTGTTACTCCTGAGAGCTCCTTTAGTTAATGCCTAGTCCTTTTAACCTTCTCGGTACGAGCGTCGTACGTCGTACGATCGGCAGCCTCTCAGCGCTCGCTTTTCTTCAGCTTATTATAAATAAAGTGACTTACGTCTCGGATTAATCTCTCATTTTTTGCCAATAGCAGCTTTTATACGTGTCGATATTTAGTCACTTTACCAGAAGACATGAGAAGGCCGTCTCGATTAGCGACCGAATAGAACCCCGTCGTAAAAAAAAAAGATTAATAATATATCGATAACATCGTCTTCAATTTTTCATAATTTATCGATAACGCACATCTCTCAAGCCAAGAGAGTGCGCAAAGTTTATGATTTACTTGTAATTTTTTTCCCGCTCCAGCAAGGATACCCGCCGTACCGCCGAAAGGATTAATCAAGGTTCAACGAAAATGACTGTCACTTTCCGTGCCCTCTGAAAACTCGCTTTCACTCGGAGTGAGAATCGGTCGGAAAATCGAAAAGTCGATTGCGCGGAGGAGGTCGCGTCTCTTCCCCTCCGCTCCTCCTCGTCCTTTCGTCCACGCCCGCGCGCGCGCGGCCGAGTCGTTTTTTCTCGCCGAGGCTCGCGACGTTTACGAGCGGGTCTCTTACGACGCGTCTCTCGCGTTTCCCTCTCTCTCTCTCTCTCTCTCTCGCTCGCTCTCTCTCTCTCTCTCTCGGGGGCTACTAACCCTATACAAAACCGTAAAGAAACTGAGCACGCCGAGGAAGAGGAACCAGAACCAGAGGAATACATAGATCTTCTCGTTGACGACGTTGAGAGGCAATATACAGACGGCGTCGTGCCTCTCGACCTCGCCGCTGACGCCGTACTTGTAGAATGTGCACTTGGTCATTCGTGGGAAGACGTAAATCATCGGGTCCACCCGGTCCTCCTGGTCGGACTCGAGGAACCTCAGCACGTCGATGCCGAAGGTCAGGAAGGCGCCGTCGAAGAAGCGGTTCATCAGAAACATCTGACCTGCGACAACGTATCCGTCGCTTTACAATCTCTCCTCGCCTCCCCCCCCTCCCTGCCCCTGCCCCTCCCCCTCCCCCCTTTGCGCGCGATTATTTCCTTCTTGCATTCTTACTGCAACGGCCTGCGCGCGTTCGAAACGCCGCAGAGAGCACCGAGTCGCGGTCGAACCGTGCGTGAGCACCCAGTACTCCCGCCCCCCCCTCTCCCCCGGCCGCCGGGGGGTATTTAATTTATCCGGCCGTCGGAGCGCGTCGTCGCGCCTCACCCTCCGCGTGTGAATAGCCGCGGAGGCTCGCGCGTGATTCGGCCACAATGGGCACATCGGCGGTGAAATCGACGTGCCATCAAGCGCGGCCAATCAAGCGGTCGGTCGGCGAGGCGCGATGCGGCCAGCTGTATCGCTGCCAACTTTTACCGTGAATCGTTCATTCACTCGGGCTCGCTCATTATACCGGCGTCTTCCTTTTCGCGCGCGCGAGCGATCGAGCGAACGAGCCGTCGCTCGTCGGTGAAGTCTCTAAAGCGATTCATTCGCGCTGAGCGTGAGCGGCTCTCTCCCTCTCTCTCTCTCTCTCTCTCTCTCTCTCTCTCTCTCTCTCTCTCTCTTTCTCGAAGCGGCGCCTCTCTTTGCGCGTCGACTTGTACCTCCCGGACTTTACGACCGCGAGCCAAACGCTCGCGAGAGCTCGGTAATGCTTGTAAACTATCTCGTCGCGCGCTGAGGGAATTATCGCGGCCGAGGGGGTGCGCGCGTCGCCGTGGAAAAGCTCGTGAAATTCGTGAAACGCGCAGAGGTCGAATTTCCGAGCGATGCCGAGACATTGTCATCGGCGTAAATATCGCTTCGGAGGAATTTTCCGCGCCGGAACGGCGCAACCTCGCTGTCTGCGCGCGCGAGCAGTGTGGTATTAGGAGTGTGATTTAATTTTGAGGATTTTTTCTCCAAAACTGATTTACTTAACCCTTTCACTGCTGAATTAACTTCCCTTGAGAAGGTTATTAAAATATTTGGTAATTCTACGTCTTTTCTGGGCCGCTGATTACGAATCTAAGTCAGATGTGCAAAAGTCAGATGTGCAAAATTCAAAATGGCGGATTTAATATGGCAATCGTGATGTATAAAATTAAATTGAATTAATTGAAAATTCCAATTATTATTGAATAATAACCAGGTCGTAATAAGAACATATGATTCTAGACGATGGAACTCGATCGAGCTGGAAAAAATTTATGTGAGAAAACGTTCAATACTGCATATTTATGCTTACTAGAGATTAAACATTCATTTTTTAGCAAATTTCTGCTGTTTTTGTAGAAATATTTGTTTATAAAAAAATCTAACCTGCAACAAAATACTGAAAAAAATATATGTTTTTGCACAACATCGGAAAAATATTTGGTGAAAATTTCAGGCCTCTACATTCAATACTCTCCGAGGAATCGATTTTTCCCTAAAAAAAGTATTTTTTTCAACTTTGATTTGTTATAAATAATCACAAGTGAATAATTCGGTATAAAAACCTATTGGAGTATGTTGAACAACTATTCGGTTATCGGGAAAACTCAATCCCCGATTAGCTTTTCAAAATTATGTAATTTACAACGCAAAATTGAATCAAGGAAAGGTGGGAAGTATACTTCTCACTAACAATGAAAGGGTTAAACACGATAATGAACGAGTACCTTGGTCAAGATACTTTTTTTCGTTTTCTACAACTTTTTCCCACAAATCTTTCCGCCAAGAGATGGATTCCGCGACGATAAAAAAATTCTTCTTCGGAGTTGAACCGATTTTCACAACAAATTTTCGCGCTTGCTCCAAGTTATGAAACTGTGTATCCTCTACAGCAGGGTTTCCCTTTTTTGTATTTCGCATCCTTAAAAATTTATTAATGGACCTTCGCACCCCCTCGGGATTTTCATGTTTCCCCTCGGATCGTCTCAATATCCGGGGTTTTCGTTACTACGACCTCTCAGGAAGTTGTCCCGCTTTTCTGAATCTCGTTACATTTTTCTCTTTTCTTTCGGGGCAAAACGCACCACTTTTTTTTAACAAGTGCGCAATACAATCTCACACAAGCGTATCGCTATTAGCATTTCTCTGTCAGAACGACGAGAAGACGTTGGCGATGGTTGGCGGAGAAAATTTCAAGGAGGTCAACCGTTCTTTTCGCACCTCCTCCCCCGCCCGCCCGACAATTTATTTTTTATTGGTACGAATTCAACATCGTTCCGGCCGTCATCACCGTAAATTGCTCGGCGGCGAGCACGCCGGCAGAGACGAAACACTTAAAAAATCACCCTTCCCCCAACCCCTTATTTCGGAATTGGGGTTGCATTACGATATCGTGAGACTCCCATAGGGAATGCCGCGTATCCTGGTCGACGGTTGTCGACCAGGAAAGTCAAACATTGACCGGCGACTCGGCGCGTACACTCCTTCCTCCCCCCTCCCCCCGCCCCAGCAAAGGAGGAGTATGGACTACTCACCGACCACGTTCAGCAGCGCGAGCACTTCGCACAGGTAGTACCTGTAAGCCCACCAATTGTGAAAGCGAAGGTTCTCCCAGAGGTAGTCGAGCAGCATCTTCTTCTTTTGCTTCTTCTCCACCTCGGAGCAGAGCCCGATGTCGAGATCCATCATGAGGGCATGAATCTTGCCACCCTCCCAGCCCTTCCACAGCCATCTCGGCGTGTAAAAAAGGATCGCCTGCGAGCAGAGAGACAGACGGGAAGAGAGCGAGAGAGAGAGAGAGAGAGAGAGAGAGAGAGAGAGAGAAAGAGAAAGAGGGAGGAAGGGAGGGAGGGAGAGAGAGGGGCGAGTGAATAAATAGCGACGAATCGGCCAACAGCTGATATATTACGGAGAGTTCTGCTGGGCGGACCTACTTACGTGTAATACATAACCGGTGCGGCCGATAGTACGAAACGGGTTATCATTATCGTGCAGACGCGCGCGCCCGATAACTGCTGATTAAGACAATGCGCGCCGGCCGGCACGCGCGCGCGCTGCTCGTTACCGGGCGAGTCCGCCTGATGAATTTTTAATGGAAAAATTGCCAGCGACTACGCCTCCTCCCCATCCCCTTCGCTCTCTCCCTCGCGAGGGAAAGCGGGGCCGAGGAGAGAGGGGCGTTTGGAGCGCGCGGTTCTGATTATTTCGAATCGCGGCGGCAACGCGCGTCCCGTTGCCATCCCCCTCGCCCCTTGAATTCGAAAAGGAGGATTTTCTGGAAAGGGAAGATCTTCGAGGTGCGTGCGATTATTAACCCTTGCACTCGGAATGCCAGCACAGCTGGCATAGACTTTCACCCCGGCAACTCGGAATGCCAGCTGCACTGGCATGAACATTTACCCCGGCAACTCGGAATGCCAGCTATGCTGTCATAAGAAAGATTTGAAGATGGGGAACAGTGTCGCATTTTAAAAAATAAGATGTAAGATTTTATAAATCTTGTCGATAAATTTACGCACAAGAGATCGTTAATTATCGAGCAGCTGGAGGGAAATGTGGAAATATTTCTCGGATGCAAAGAGTTAAGCGGGGGAATAATTGTAGCGCCGTGCCGTGGCGACGACGACGACGACTTTGCATCCTCTCGTCGGGAGCTTGGTCGGATCAACGAGATATGATTGACGGCGGCACTAGCCGTGATTTTCGCGAGGCCGAAGAACGCGCTCGCCGAGATCGAGAGTCGCTCAAGCGTCGCCCTCTTTGTTGTTTTTGTCGGCAGCTGCGGTCGTTATCTCCCAGCCTCGCGCGGTATTTTGATATTTTTGATAGATGTACGTGTGCAACGCAGCGCAGCGCGTTTCTACACGCGTGAAATGCATCAACCGGCCGAGTCGAGCACTTTGCATATCGCGTCACCGTGGGTGACGGTTGCTGGCGAACGTGTTAACCTTTTCCTCTTCGCGGCGTATTCACACCGTCTCTCTCTCCCTCTCTCTCTCTCTCTCTCTCTCTCTCTCTCTCTCTCTCTCTTGCTCTGTGTGTCTTACATGCCCGTATTTTCTTGCTAGGGCTCTCCCGGCCGGCGCTCGCCGCGGCCATCTTGATTTATGACGTCAGAAGCGTGGAAGAGCACGCTGAAGATTCCCGCAAAGCGCGCTCAAACGAAGGAATACACAGCCGAGAAACGGCGCTCGCGCGATCCGCCGAGCACGCACTTGCTCGAAATGCCCCGAGCACTGGCAGTTAATAACGAACGATGAACCAAGTCTCGCTCGGACAATTAAAAGATTATCGCGAAATCTCTCAGCGCGACACGCAACCCTTTTTACACCTGCGCAATGTCAAACTCTTCTCACGCGATCCCGTCGCGCGAGAAGCGTCTCACGCTAATCCGTTGCAGCAAAAGGAAATTTATTTATTCATCGGGATTCTTTTCTCATTCATTTATTGCGAAATTGTTGGGAGTATTTTGCAAGTTGTGTATTTCTCGACCTCGACGGACGCTCGCGGAAGTTTCGAGAGCGCGCCTCCTCGAGTCACGAACGGCCAGGATGGCCGCGGCGAGCGGCCTCACTCTTATTAATTGTCACGTCTCAACGACGCGCGATCTCGTCGCCGGGTTTCGCGCCTCGGCTGTCATTAGGATTAGAATTTCATTAGGTCGCAATCACGCGGAGCTGTCGCCAGCCCGTTCCGCTGGACGGAACGTCCAGAAGCCGCCGCGTGCGTCGTCGGCGAGAATAAACGCGCGCGATTAATTGAATCGCGCGCTCGCGCTCGGCATTATCCCACATTAGAATTTCCGATGCGATGTCAATGCACTTATCGGGTGCGCACGGCTGCAGGAGGAGGAGATCCTTTCTCACGGTATATAAAGCTTTCTGGCTTGCCGCCAGGGGCAAGCTCGGGTCGCGCGCGCGCGCGCTGCGCGATCGAATATAGACGCGTACCACTCACCGTCGCCATCGCCGACGACGACGACGACAACGACGACATCGTCGACAACGGCTTGGCGGGTGTTCAGGAAATCCGAGGCAAATTGCAATTTACGGAAGATGACGGAGACGCGGATGATTGTTAATGGGAGCGAGCGCGGTACGTGCCGGTCGCCACGCGCTCCGTCGGCTTGCACGCGTCGAGAGAGACAATGTACTCTCTCTCTCTCTCTCTTTTTCTCTCTGGCTAGATTTCCCGGGGCGAAACCTCGCTCGGAGTAGCCTCAGGTGGGAATCCGCGCGAGCGAGAACGCCGCGACCCGGAATCAGCGCATTAGTCGCTTGGCAAAATCGGGCAAAAACAGGAACCGCGAAAGATCGCCATAATCCGAGCAAAAAAATTGTTAAGGCCATTCTCATGAAGTATAAGGCCTTGAGAAGGCTGAAAGTATAGAATGCTTTAAAATGGGATGCGTCATTATTACCACATCAGGCTCCGAGATGGATCTCTTGGGGATACCTTAGATTTTGTGAAATAAGGCTTTGATAAGGAAAACTGACGAGGGCCTTAGAAGAATCTTTCAGGGGTACTTTAGATTTTACGAAGTAAGGCTGTGATAGGAAAAGCTGAGAAGGGCCTTAGAAGGATCTTTTAGGGATGTCTTAGATTTTACGAGATAACGCTTTAACATGAGAAACTGATGTGGGTCTTAGAAGGATCTTTTAAGGATGCTTTAGATGTACAAAATCAAGTTTTGCTATAGAAAATTAATAAGATCTGAAGCGTGTAATAAAATCATATCATAGTTTAATATTGTTTCAGTAGGTCGCTCTATCTGGTTCTTTTAAAGATTTTTTAATTATACCGCAATTAAAAACAAATTTTATTAGTTTTATTAGTTGCCATATTCATTAATCTGTTCCAGGGATTTTTCTAGTATTGCCTTTCTTTTGAAATGCAGCAAACTTTAATAAAAACAGTAGCAGGATTTTTATATGTAAATAATGCTATATTTTATTCCAAAGTATGCTATATTTTTAAAATAAAAAATTCTTGTTGTATACTAACAAGGTCACAAAGAAATAAAGAAATTAGTCTAAATTTCTTGGAATGACAAGAACAAATATTTTTACTCAAGCAATAATAAAAATATTTCCGTGTAAAACCCCTTATAATATTGCCTCATAAAAACCCGTTAAACTATTTATTGCACATCTTGTAGGAGCTTTGTCCTTTTATTCTTATTAAGGCCCGATTAATGTTAAGGAAAAATAATCACCAGAGTCTTATTAATTTTTCGACTCGGGAAAGAGAAGGCCGCGAGAGTGTTTTGACTCGTTCGACTTTGCGTCGAGACTTCTCAGCTATCAGCAAGCAGCCCCATTGGGTGTTGGCAACCCAAAGCTGGGGAGAAACTCGCTCGAATCGACCAGCGAGACGATTGATTAATTCTGATTAACGACTTGCCGATCGTCTCTCCTGGTCGATCAGCGTCTTTTAATCGATTAACGCCCAGTGCTTCCTCCCGGAAGGGAATTATTAAATAACGAGGTGTTTGTCATCGGGGACGTCAGGACGGAGAAGCGGTTGCAGCGTCCGCTTTCTACTTTGGATAATTAATGAGTTGATTAATGAGAACGCAGTGCAGTAATCATAACCTGCTCGCTCGGGATATGTCGGAGCAATTCCGAAATGGGAGTTCGTTCCAGGAAATTTGGAGAGGGAGAGCGCCATTTCGCTCGGGGCGGAAGATAAACACGCGTGGCCTGCAATACACCCTTCCGGCTGACTAATAAGTGATAAATTAATCGTACACACTAAAATTCTAATAAACCACTCGCGCGGGACGAGCTGAAGCAATTACGCCGGCTTGCGAGAGTCGGTTCAGTCGGAAAAGCCGCTCGAATTCGAGCTCGACTCGGCTGCCGCTTCGCTCTTCGACTGGAATTTCAGCCGGGAAGATCCGAATACGGATCACTCAGCTCGGCGGATAGGTAAACGCGCGTCGAGATTTTCGCAACTCCATTCCTCCCATTTTCCGCGACCTCCGTCGTCGAGAAACCGGTGGAGAAAAGAAAAAATGCACCACCGAAGGTTAAAGCTGCAAAAGTGTCGACTTTGAGGGGCTTTACGAAAAATCCCAACGAGCCTGTCGAAAAACGCCAAATATTATCGCGCCAACAAAAAATCGGAGAGCGGGAGGCGGGGGAGAAATTGCATCAGTCGTCCGGCGCGACGAGATCGTGCGAGGAAGCGCGAAACAAACGCGGGCCGTTGTAAGCCGATTCGCAGCTTCCAGCGTTATCGCGAGAGCGAGCGACTGCGCGCCTCTCGGAGAGAGGAGGGAAAATGCGTGACCGAAAATAGACTTGTTTCTCTCGCGGCTCCCCCTGCTCCCTTCACGCGTCGCCGTCCCCCCCGTCCCTCCCCAGGAGGACCAAACCGCGGCCACGTCCGACCCCGCGCGAGGCTGCAGGAGCGTTTACGTCGTCCTTTCAAGCTTGCTGCGCGCGAGTGTCCTTAGACACGCAAATACACCCGCGGGGACACTCACGGCCGATCGCTCGGTCCGTCCGTCCGCGAGATATTTACTCCGCAAACAGAATGCGCGCTAAATAAGGCAACCTCCGCGGCAATTAGAGCGCGCGGATCTCCGCGGCGACGAGCTGCGCGTCGTGCGAGTTGATCCTCTCGGCGTCGGCTGGGTCCAACGGGACAGCAAATCAACGAACTCCTCCACGAACCGGGAAGAAAGTAACGCTGATGAGACAATTGATTTTGCGATTTTCTGCATGGTGAAAAGTACACAAAGCGTGAGA